GGCTGGCTTGAGTTGCATTCTGATGATTCGGAGACTAATGAATCGAAGAACCTATAAAGCCATTTGCTATTTTTTGCCCCATGCAGGGCAGGTCTTTTGATGTGTGGACTCTTTTCATATGCTGACCTGATGACTTCTTGCAGGCTTTTTTTGTAGAATCTCCTCCCGTGTGTGTTTAGCTCCTTGGCGTTCTGCAGAGTGCTGCTTTTTTGGAGGACTCTGAGAAGTCAGTCTTTTTTTGTTTTGTTTGTTCTCTTTTGGTTTTGGAGCTTCATAGGCCAACCTGTCCTAGAGACACTGGAGGACATCTGAGCAACTTCAGTACCTTAAAGCAGTTATAGGAATATAAAAATGCTTTTGTTTCTTGACCACATATCAAAATTTGTTTCTAGTGTCCTCTTTCTGCGTCAGTAATACCTTGGAAGCGTGTAAGATTATTGTTGTGTATTAAAAAGATATGGACTTTAGGTCTCTATCGATTTCCTTTAAAAAAACAACAACAAAAAAACAACTGAATACTGTACTGACTCCTCAAAGTAACTTTTCTGTAATCTAATATAAGTTTCAAATTTAAATATAAAGAATGTTTTAAGAATTCAAACTCATTGTGTTTATTTGCGACACTAATGTAATACTACTAATTTCAATAAACTTTATTTTATATATGTGCCTAGTGTGATTTAGATTTGCATTCAGGAAGTTGACATATTTTTTAATTCTTTGTATGACCTCATACAATTTGAGAGACTGTTTGTACAGATTTTTAATTGAGAATATTTGTGCTTTTAGGATTCACTTGCCACACCACATAACCATTGAAGTTAACCGCAAAAATGGTGAAAACTTAAATATTAAGGAAATTTAAAGCTGTAATTTCGAGAACTGGAAAAGTCATGTACATTGCTATAGTAAATTTTTCTTGTTTATTCTGACATGTTTTTGGTATTATATTGCTCACCGAGAGTATTTTATCACCGTAAGTGGAGAGGTTTTGCAAATTTCAGATTTTTCGTCATTTGACCAAGTGCGACAGAACAGTCCCGATTCTAAACCCCAGGTAAACTGAATCCTGGGGTATCTTGCTTCACACCTTGCACTGCTCACGATTTAGCTGGGGTTAACAATTATTAATGTTTATTAGTAGGCTGAGGTTTTACACTGTAAATACTTAACCATCTAGTGCTCTTTGGTCATTTTTGACAGAAAAATGTATACATTTATTTTTTTAGAATTTTTCTTTATCGTAATGGTATGAAACTTGGTAAAGGTTTTAGCACTTGCACACACACACACAAAAGTCATGGACATTAAATGAAAAAGGTGCTGATTTTTTTTTTTACTGCATTGGAAACAAATGTCATCTGGTGGAATGTTTGGTATGGCACCCAAAAAACAAACACCTCACTGAAAGCTCGTTTTGGATTTCAGCCTCAAATTTGGAACACAATTTGTTTAGGTTAATGTTTTATATTCAATAACTTGCTGAATTATTGGCTTGATATAGACACACACACACACACATACACGCTTGACGTTCTTATTTGCATATTTTTCACACTTGAAATAGTTAACTCTGCGTGATTCTAAACCCCAGGTAAACTGAATCCTGGGGTATCTTGCTTCACACCTTGCACTGCTCACGATTTAGCTGGGGTTAACAATTATTAATGTTTATTAGTAGGCTGAGGTTTTACACTGTAAATACTTAACCATCTAGTGCTCTTTGGTCATTTTTGACAGAAAATTTATTTTTTTAGAATTTTTCTTTATCGTAATGGTATGAAACTTGGTAAAGGTTTTAGCACTTGCACACACACACACACACACACACACACAAAAGTCATGGACATTAAATGAAAAAGGTGCTGATTTTTTTTTTTACTGCATTGGAAACAAATGTCATCTGGTGGAATGTTTGGTATGGCACCCAAAAAACAAACACCTCACTGAAAGCTCGTTTTGGAATTCAACCTCAAATTTGGAACACAATTTGTTTAGGTTAATGTTTTATATTCAATAACTTGCTGAATTATTGGCTTGATATAGACACACACACACACACATACACGCTTGACGTTCTTATTTGCATATCTGCTGTGTCAGTGTCAATGATTGGACGAAGACAGCGAGCGACCTATTTATGTAAATACTTCAGCTTTGCGCGTCCTCATGTTGTTGCCGACCCTATTATGGACTATTCCTGAATGGACATTTCGTACTATTAAGGTAAAGTTATTGATGTCACCATTTTTCCCTTTAACGCTGGAACTACTGTTTATACAACACGCGGATTTGTGACTGTCCAAAGGTTAAGCACGTGAATATGAGGCACGCTTTTGGGCCTCTGTTGCTAAGCATCTCAACATTCTAACACAGAATCGTTTCACACTGCAGATTTGGCACGGCAGTGCTGGGTTAACGCTTTCATAACCGCGGGGAAAAGCGGTGGGCTTCTAAACTGCAAGTGTAAACCGTTTCTACCAGGGGTTAAAAGCGGGGTTTAGAACGACTAAGACCCGGGGTTAAGCGAAATCGTATAATATCTGTTCTCGCGGCTGGCCAGACGACGGCGTCATAAGAGTCGAGTGATTCTCGAATGTTGATCTCCTGCCCGGTGAAGAAAAAGCTCTCGTTGCCAAGGGAATAGAAGACACTGCATTGCGCCTGTTCAGTACCTCCTTCTGCATGTCTTTACCGTGCAGATGCTCTGAAAAGAGTACCAGTAACATGTGCCATTGCAATTCAAGCACTGTATTTGCTGATCTGAACACCTAAATGCACATGCAACTAAATACACTGGGATAAAAAGTTTCACACTGCATTAAAATTCTGTGATTATAAGATCAAATAAAGCACAAAAACTGAATAAAATACTACTAATAATAACAACAACAATAATAAAATGTTTTATTTATATAGCAGCTTTCAAGAACCCAAGGACACTTTATATAAAGTTGATAGATAACATGAACAACAGATAGAGTCAATGCACAGAAATGTAAATGTTCACGAGTCCAAACACACTCTCATGGCAATTTGTAACTATTAAATGTTTTGTTGAATTGGTGGCTAAATCGTATGAAGTTGTGTGATCTCATTTGTATGTTTTTGTACAATCTGCTTACGCCCCATGTACAGTTAGGGGTTGGGACTTCATGCTTATGTTTCTTTCTAAAAATCGTACATCTCCATACCAATCACATCATATGATTCATACTAAATAGCCTACTTGTAGATGTTTTCTCATAAGATCATATTGTAAATTGCAGGTCTTCGAGTCTGTAGGAGCTAAATGTAATTTTTAACCACTAGATGGCGGTGTGGAATGGGAGGAGTTGGTGTATGTCACATGACATTTAAACCCTCATGGTTGTGTGTGTGGAGGGAGTTGAACCATGAATCCACGTGTTTATTTGTAAGCTGCATTTCTTTCATTAATTGAACAAAGCAAGAAATGGATTGTTGCATGGACAATGACTTTATTTCCAACTTATGAGTAAAGAATGTCTTACACCTGTTCCTGGGTGGTTAGGAAGCCACCACAGCTTCAACTGTTTTGTCATGTGGGCAAGTCTCGGGCACACAAATCCTGTTTGGTAGTAATTTTGTCTGTATTTTTATCTAAAAAAGTAAAATAGGTTTCAATAGTTTTACTATACCATAATGTAAATTAAAAAATTTAAATATGTTGCATAATAGGTGCATATTTATTTACAGTTTTTTTTGGAGCCCACTGTCATGTTGCTCCCATATCTCAATTTTCTACTTATTTACTTTCTTCTGTGTTGGTTGGTGGTGGTTTGAAAGGGTCAGGCTGCTTCACGATTCCTTTTTTCTGCACTGGCCTTCCTTCTGTCTCCATTATGGAATCAAGTCCAATGTCTTCTCACTCAGTAAAGCGATCATATTAGAAGATTTACATTTTTAATTCTCAATAAAACCATTCTCTTAAAACATCTTCCCACATGCATTTTCCCCAGTAGTTATTGAATTAAAGCAGCACACAAAAGCAAGCAAAATTCCATGCAGAATTAATTTGAATTTAAATTAGTTTCAAGCAACAAACAGCAATGAAAATGACATTTTAGAAACTCAAAAATATAGAAACACGGAAACAGACCTGATGCTTTGCATTTTTTTGTTTTGTTAGAATTGTTCATTTTTATCTTAGAAGTAAGGCATTTGTTGTTGTTGGATTTCTGAGAAACGTAAACACTGTGGGTCTGTAGTATATCTATGGGAATTTAATAATACACTTGAAGTGTATAATCTTGATTCACTATTTTTTTTACCGTTTTAAATGTAAAAGTCCGTTTGGTGATGCTAGTAGCACAAAAATGGCACACTTTACCTTTAAAACCTCTTGCACTAACGTTCATTTGTTACATTATGACTGTCCCAGGGTCCACCGCTGGCTTCACAACAAATGTGTGTGTCAAACCATGTGGCTCTTTCTTTATCCCATAGATGATGCATAGAAACACAGGAACCCAGGCATTCCTGGCCAGATGATGGGATGAAAGACGGCCTGCATGGTAGGCTCATGATGATGACGATAGCTATTAGCATACCAGCGCCTGGCTAAAGCCTTTGTGAAGCTTTAGTGAAAAGCTCTGCGAGGATATACCATTGAGTGACCTTTCAGTTAACAGCTAAATAAGTCAACTATTGGCATGAAAATTACAGTCTTAGATACAGTAATAAAATATAACAAAAGACACATGATAATAAGTCACTTTTATTTAATATATTTTTACAGCTTTATTTAAACAAACGTGTTGAAAAGGATAGTTTTAACTAGTAAATTGCTTACAACAACTTAATGCTATATTAACCAAACTGAATCAGTTGTGGTGTATAAATTGTTTTATTATTATTATTATTATTATTTTTCGTAAACAATGCAAGGCTAATTTAACAAAACATGGGTTGATTACTGAATAACCCTTATAAATTAATAATAATAAAAAGCAATAATAATTATTATTATTTACTAATTAATAATTAATTATTATTTTTTTCATAAGTTACTGTATAGCAGGTTAGGTTAACCTTCTGGCTGTCTAAACTGGACAGGAACAGATGAACGGTTTGGGTATTGCGCATGGTACATCACTGAACGCCAGATCATCTGAAAATAGACAAAGCTTTGTAAAAACTGGTAAAGACAGATCATGAAAAGAGGAAGGCATCACTACAAAAGGAACACAGAGAATAAAACTTAGGTGAAGGAGTTAATATTTATATATTATTCCTTTGGATCTGTGCAATGAATGTGACTTTTTATTGACAGATTTTTGTTAACTGTTGTTCAGTAGCAACACTTACTCCACGTCTCCACGCAATTCTCCATCCCACCAGCATTATTGGGCTCTCCAAAAGCCCAGCCATTATAGCTCCACTGCGTTCCATCCAACCAAACAAAATTATTTGTCTGTCAAAACAGGAAAGTGACTTACTAGAGGGACAGATATGGTGGAGAAATGAATAAACCATGTGAAAAAGTGAAACACTGCAAAACAAATGAACATACACCAATGATTCTCCGTCCTCCAAGCCATGCGCGAGTGCGCCCGCCATACCGGTCCATTAACTTGCCCATTCCGTCACGAATGTAGCTGCTTGTCACAGAGGCCAGGTGGCCATTGGGGCAGATAGATTGACATTGTAACTAAAGGGAAACATTTTATAAAATGAAAATAAAATAGAAATACTGTTTCATTATGTCATTAACCAGGATATGTTTTCAGCAATTACATTTTAAGTGTAATTTGTAATTTAATTTAAGTGTAAGAATGTATTATTATTATCATTATTTTCTAAATCTTTGAAATGTGCGTGTGTATGGTTTTTATTTAAAAAAATCTACCGGACATGTACTGTATGAAATCAAACATAAATGTCGCTTGATGATTGTTCTCTTTGATTTACATTTCCTGCCAGAACCATATTACTCTAAATAAACAAATAAGCTTCATAACAGGTTTTCTATCATTCTAACAAGTGAAAATGACATTAATACCTCAGCAGTATAGGCATCAAGGTTTCTTGTGAAGTACTGGTAACATTTGCCCTGTAGGACAACTCCTCTACAAGTCCATCTCCCTGTGGACATATCACCACACTACAATCACCAATCCATATCGCAAAGTTTACATTACACGTGACGTCACACTAGCTTGATAAAGGCAGCTGTTCAGTGATCCTGAACAATGCAGTATTCAGTGCATTTGGCCAAGTAGTATCAAACCTGTTTGCTACTTGTACACAGTGATAAAACTAATATAATCTGAGGTGGTTTACCAATCTGTGTCCTTCGTCTTTCCCTCCCAAGTTCCATTTGTATTTCTGGATCTTCAACCTCTATATAATCAGCCTCAAGTGTAGGCTCCTCCTTTACTACATTTTCTTCTTTTTCATCTTCCACCTCTATATTAGTTTCAGACTCTAACTGTTGTACAGCTTCCTCCACAGGTATGATGTTTCTGTTCATCTGAATGGCAGTTATTTCTGGCTCAGGCTCTAGTTCTGTCTCTGGCATCTCTTCAGTCAGGTAATCTGCCTCTAGCATCGGTTCCTCCAACATCACTTGTGTCTCTTCTGGTACTCTGTGTTCCTCTGTTGTCTCTGGCCCCAGCAGCACTGAATCAGGCTCCAACATACGTGAATCTGCAACAGTTTCATCCTGCATTAGAGGACCTTGCTCTGCTTCTGTGTGCTCTACCCTTGGTTCTTTCTCAACCGCCGGCACCTTCACCACTTGATCAGGAAGCTTCTCATCCTGAAGTGGACTGGCAGAAGCTACAGAAGCTAGTTGTGATCAGAAAGTAATAATGTTAAACAATCTAGAGATTAAATATAATTATTTACCACTTTTAAGATTTTATTTAACATTTAGCTAGTAAGATATTCTTAAGCTTTCACCAATAATGACTACTTATATTTTGTTGAAGATGCATGATTAAAAATATGTTGTTTAAAGTGTTAGTATTCCCCCAAGTTTTAAAAAATAAGTGTGCACTATTGTATTATTCCACTCTCAAAAGAGCAAAGTTTTACATAAATATGCAAATCATTAAACATTTATACCAGTGTTTACAGAAAGCTGCATTAAATGCATGGACTAGAGTATAAAAAATAGGACACAATGTTAAATATTAAACGAACACAGTTAATATTAACTATGTTTGAACGATATGTAACTAGAGCACAGATCATACCTGTTATGGTGAGAACCAGCAAGAGTAATTTTCTCATCTTGTCAAAAATCTTCTAAGAGTTGCTTTCTGCAAAGAGATGATTTAATAATAAAACCAACATAAATAAATCAATTATTTAAGTTTTCACTTAATGAAGTTTTTATTGACTGTAATTCATAAAAGCCCTCTTCATTTAAGAAGGGACTGGGCTACACTGAAAGAAAATTGTATTTAAATTAACTTCAAGTTAGTTATGTTAAAAATATTATTTATATTCACTGAATCAACCAAAATACATTAGTTTACACCAACTACATTTAAGGGTTAAATCATTATGACCTGCAGATGATAAAGATTATAAAGAAAAGAAAGACAAAAAGGATTGTATTTTTCAGAAATATGTACAGTAGATGGTTATTCTCACCATGTGTTGATCTTGTTGGTCTGTATTGACTCTTCACCTGCGTTTCTCTCAGTGCTGTGAGATCCAGTCAGTGCTTCTTATAAAAGACCTTTAGGACAGTTTTATGGCCTTTGTCTTATCTTCGCATGCTTTGACCGTTCTCTGTAGATCCTATCTTCTCGCTCACCACAATTGGTTGATTGTGTACGAAGCCTGTGCTCTATTGGTCAAACTTCAGTCATTATCTTCAGCGAGTATAAAACTAATATAGGAAAACAAAGATAAAACCCAAAGCTAGGCAATTTAGAAATCACGCCCAGAACATGTCCAGGACAAAGAGGACATAATTGTGCAGTCTCTCTGTATACTACTTGTCAAAAGCTTGAACACACAGGCTCTTTATTTATCAGTACTGTTACATTTTCCCATACTAATAACAGCGGAGTGGAGTGTGTGTGTGGGAGCATAGGCTAACATCATGTGTGGATTTGACAACAGCACAGCAACTGACACTGTGGACAGGTGTTATAAGCAACGGGTATATCAAAATGCCATGTCATACTGAGGAAAGGAATACTGTGGATAAAGCAGCCATCAAAAGTTTCATACCCACAAGCCTCAGAGTGAGTGTGAGGTCTCAAAAGTATTACGCATGAACAATGCAGCCCTGTTCATATGAAACCTAAACCCATAGAAGAAAAGCTGTAAAACGACATATTATCTCTATCATGTTATCTTAATTGCACACTCTAAAAAATGCTGGGTTAAATACAACCCATTGCTGGGTAAAATAGGGACAACCCCAGCATTTTTTAGAGTGCAAAGGTAAATATTCTTCAGAATTATAACAGACAAACACTATGCCAAACATTTCCTTGAAAGGGTAACTCATAAAACAAAATAATTTGCATGACTTCAGCACTTTTAGTACAATGAATTTACCACTGCAAACTGTTTTTCATCCTTTTTTTTCAGTCCGAATGTTTACCTGCATCTTAAGAACTTGGTCTGACCCTTTTTAGAGTTTGATTTAGTTGTTGCAACCCAGTAGTTAATATTCTCTGGGCGTTTTTTGGAATTTTCATACTCAAATTCAAATGTTTGCCCTACACACATACAATGGAGGAAATTTTAAAAAATGGTTTCATTGTAAATAAAACCCTTTGAACTACAAAATATGAGTGGAATTCTTTATAAATAACATTATATACTTTTCAACTATTATTATAAACACAAAAAACATAGGCGCTTTTTGAGTTTTAATTCAATATATATTTTTTGAAATTCTGTAATTCAGGTTCTATTAGGCTCAACTCTCTGCAATTTACTTTGTTTGATGCCACTATATGCCAAAAAGTACCAGAAAAAAAGAATATTATAGCGTTTATAGATATTTGTGGCTGTTTGCGGCTAACTGAAGCAGTGCTACGAGTAGAAATGTTACACAATAAAAAGTTCCGTTTTTTTCATCGCAATTCAATTGAAGATAATTCGATCTATGATTGTCACACAATAAACTTTCATCGTGAAATTCCTGAGAATGAGAGCTTTCTTGTGATATATGACTTGACTTTATTGTAAAAAATATATCAAATACACATTCTTCATAAAAAAAAGTTTGCAATGGCTAGGCGGAAAATCGTGTGTGGGACGAATACATTTCTAAGCTTAATTTTACTGCTTTATGAATATAAAAACCAAAAGGAATGGTATTCTTTGTAAAGAAGACACTCCAAGCTTTCAAATGAACCCATATATGGGCTGATACCATATAAGGAAGGCTATGCAAATGAAGCATACACATTTTTAACGTGACTTTGGACCCGTATCCGGGTCCGCAGAGTTTAACTGTTAAGTTGATTCAATCATTAAATTATACCTTTGAATATACCTTGAATAAAAACAATACATTTTAGACAAAATATTTTACAGTGCTACAGTTACATAGCAGAATGATGTTGTGAAAGTGAAAGTGCATTTACCCATCCAAAGTGCACACACACAGCAGTGAACACACACACACACACACACTGTGAACACACACCCGGAGCAGTGGGCAGCCATTTATGCTGCGGCGCCCGAGGAGCAGTTGGGGTTCGGTGCCTTGCTCAAGGGTCTCACCTCAGTCATGGTATTGAAGGTGGAAGAGAGTGCTGTACATTCACTCCCCCCACCTACAATCCCTGCCGGTATGAGACTCAAACCCGCAACCTTTGGGTTATGAGTCCGACTCTCTAACCATTAGGCCACGACTTTTCCACAATTTTTCCACCATGGTCAAAAAAGTGAATAGAATTATAGAAAGACGCGTGAAAGAAAGGCATATTGTTTTAAGGAAATGCATAATTATGTTTTACAGGAAAAAAGTGTTTACCACGCTTACCTACAAAAATACTATGATAAGAAACCATTTGATCTTATACAAACGTCGCTCATATGCAGATCGTCGACATGTCTCAGAGCATTTGCGCAAACCATCTTAAAGTACTTCCGAAGAGCAAGAAGCACATCAGACTCACCACGCACTCCTGCTCCGGCCGGACATATTCTTTTGTAATATGAGTATCGGAATACTTTTATTTTGGTATTCAACATGGACAGTTACGGACTGTGTGTTGAGAAAAAATCGCGTTCGCTGGAAGAGCACTGCATTCAGATCAGTTCTCTGACGGTTTTACCGTAATAGGCCGTTTATGCGCGACCCTCGAAATAACGTGGCGGCTGGCTTGACCGCAGGGACAATACGAAGATGAGCACAGCACACATACTAACCTTCCCCGCTCTGCTCATGCTGCTCTACAGTAAGTATATTGATGATGCTTGGATTTCTCATTATCTGACTCTTTAGATCGTTGTCTGTGTTCTGGACATTTTAAAAGAAAGACATTTCTTACTATGTGAACTCTGAGGAGTGAGTTGGAAAATACAGTTAATAATGCTCATTAATAATTTGTATATTTAGGCCTATTTGTTAAAAATTATACTTATTTTTATTATTTTATTTGATTTCTACTCGATTAAATGATTTTTAAAGTGTTAAAGTGCCTTGTAATTAGAATTGGCTATGACACTGAGAAAATGGCATAAGGTTTAAAAGTTATTACAAATAATTCTAAAAATAATTCGTTTTTATAGTTTTTAAAAATTGAATTAAATGTTTTTCTTTCATCAGCTCTGTGAATAGATTTGGTTCAAATTCAAAACTGTTTGATTTGTGTGTGTGTGCTTTTTCAAAGAGAGCTGAATGCTTTGAGGCTCTGGATTGGGTGGGTGGGGGTCTTGTAAAACACTGTTTACACAAACTTCTCAAACAGCATTTGAACACATGAGATCCTGAGGGTGATAAAATGTCTGTGAAGAAGTTGTCCAGATCTGAACTTCACTCTGATGTGGCAGGGACCCTTTCATGTCACTGATGCCCCTTGACTGAATCCTTGTGTATTGGTCATTATCATGGAGATTATGGTTACCCAGCATACCATGAGAAATTCTTTATCCCGTCTAGTCTAGAGATCCAAATATCTGTTAACCACATGAAGTTTTGCAGCTTATATAAAATTGCATTTTTTTTGTTATAAGAATGTATATTAAAATGATGAATATAGCTAAAATGTTGACTTTGACAAAATTGATTGGTTTTATTCTGATAACTTTCATGTTGCAGGCCACTAAGTGATAGTTAGGGTTGTTAAATACCTTGTGGGGTGGGCTGTGATTGTAACCCCAGTCCTCTTCCAGCTGAAGACGTTTTAAGTTACAGCAGCATAGTAGGTCTTTGTATCTCTGGGTAAAAAGACCATATCCAGCCTTTCTCAAGTCTCATGAAAGTCAGTTCTTTTCTACTGTTAACACATCCAGTGGACTATAGAAAAGGACTTACACAGTCAAAGGAGAGTGTTTTCCCTCACTTTCCCCAGACGTGCATGTTTTTCAGTGTGTGAGGAGGTTATCAGGCTTGATTTGGACTGCCACCCCCCACTACACACAGCCAGACTGTGTCAGAACATCCATCCATTACTTAAATTCCTACACATCCCTGTTCCTGGCACCACCAGAGCGTGGAGTGAGTGTTAGTGAGGTTTCACATTTGAGGAGAAACTCAAATCTGTTCATTCTAAAATCTGTTTACTGTATTCTTCCTATTTACCTAAACATGATATAATATAAGGGGCATGATATAGGAAAAAAATCTAACACACTCTTGAGTAATCTGTGTCATTTAAACAAATATTCTGGGTTAAGTTGAGGCTATGTGCCAGGATTTCAGTTTGTTCTGAACAAAAACTTCCCCCATAGTCTTTCATTGAAAGTTTCATTTTTGTCCGCTATTATAAAAATGCTGTGGGGGGGATTTTTTGTGGTGTTTTACAACATTCATGTGTTCATTTGTATATTCCCTCTCCTCCAGTTCCTAGCTCAGATCCTGTTACTGTGACGACAAGCAAAGCCAAAGTGGAGGTAAATGAAAACACAAGTAAGATCATTAGTCTTCAGATAATCAGCTTGACATATTTAGATATATAAAAGCTTTCAGACCATATTGATTTGACTCTTCTGTCTGTTCTTTGCAAAAGATGCTGTCCTGTCCTGTGAATTCAAGACGGAGAAAGAAACAAACCCATGTGTTGAATGGAAGAAGAGAGGCAAAGATGTTTCGTATGTTTATTTTTATGGAGATTTTACAGGTACTGTAGGTTGTTGTTTTGCCCACTTTCATATTAATTGCAACCATGTCCCTAAACATGTCCCCCATCTCTCTCGTTTGCATATTGCTTTAGATATTTTATCATTTTAAAGGGGAAGTGTGTCATTAAAATGACTTTTGGCAGTAAATTACATTCTATTTGGTGTGTCACATTAGTGAAATTTTGGCCAAAAGTTTTTCGCCCACGAAAATTTGCCAATCAACAATAAATCTGATTGCACCTTAACGTCTTTCAGTGAATATTTGTTTTGTGCTTTCATTACATATATTTAGGGGCCAAGCACCATAGGAAATTCGGAAACATAGCGTGAGGAGCAATGCTAATGCCCAATTGACAAAATTTTGATAGTAAGTGGCAAACAAAGTCGGCCATCAGTCATTTGTTTTCTTCTCATATATAAAAATGTCTATAACTCCAAAACAAAAGGAGATATTTTCACCAAATTTGACATGTATGGGCACACTCTAAGGACACATAAAAAAATTTGGTGGGATTGTGCCTCTTAGTGGCACTATAATTGAACAAAACATGAAATTGGCATTGACTACAATAGTGTTATGATATAAAATGCTATATTTTACGAATGCATTGATGTACCATTACGAAACTGTGTATGTACCATCGAGACCATGACCTGAAAGTACTCAAAATGTTTTGAGACAGTGCCACCTTGTGGTCAAAAGTTATAATGCAATTTCAAATAAATGCTAATAGCTTTCTGTGAATTTTGCCTATTGTAATGAGACTGGTGTTAATAGATTCCTTGGGTCATGCTGAGAACAGAGATACCAATGTTCAAAACCTTCTTTTTCGAACTTTTTCTACTTTTATTTTAGGCATGCTGCCAAAATGACACTTGAGGCTGTATCTCTGCAATGCTTTGCTTTGGCATATTGACACCAAACTTTGTGTGTGCCAATGTCAACTCATACAGAACACACCACTTCGATTTGATAACACCAATAACACCTATTGGTCAAACTTGATAAGCCAATAAATCATGTTACTAGAGGTTGTATTTATGATTTTTCAGACGTTTTGACTAATATCATCCTAAAATGGCTTCAATTACTAATTTCTGCAGTTGGTCTGATGCTTGCTTCTGTAGTGCTTGGCCTGTAATTGCTGCTTGCAGCTATATTTTTTCTTTAAACTGTTCTGACTTTTACTATTACCAGGTTCATTTAAGGGCAGTGCATCCATCAACGGGGCAACAATGACCCTCCGTGGTGTTACACAGAAAGACTCAGGAGTGTATCATTGCGAAGTCACAGCCCGCCATGACAAAATCAAGCTTGGGGAGGTCACCGTCACCCTCAATGTGCTTGGTGAGAATGAAAATCTTTTTAATTATTCGATCTTGTAATCTCCTTTTCATTATTTACATGAATATATGAATGAATGAATATACACCAAAAATATTCATAACTCTCAGTCTTAAACACAACCTTTCTGTCACTGACCAATGTAATGCAACTCTGTCTTACAGGGACAGTGGCACCACATGCGCCGTCATGTGAGGTCCCAGAAACAGTCATGAGAGGATTTTCTGCAGAGCTCCGCTGCAAAGACAAACTGAGCATTCCCACTGCCACCTACAGCTGGTACAAAGACAACAAACCACTTCACACAAGCAATCTCCCTGAAATCAACTACACCCTGGACCCCAAAACAGGGACTCTGGTTGGTGTAATGCTCATCTCTTTTTTTCCCACTGACAAACTTGTATTTTGATCAAAACTAGATAAAACTGGCTGAAACTGTTAGCCTTTCCCCCTGATAGCTAACAAACGCTGCTTATGCTTTTTTGGCTTTGATGCACCCATGAGACGTAAAGTATGATTTATATATACTGTTTCTTTTCCTTTGCTTTTGAGTAGAAGTTCAAGGTGGTGTCCAAATCTGATGAAGGTCAGTATCGATGTGAGGCCTCCAATGGGGTGGGGGCACCCAAAAGTTGTGCAGGCCGGCATATGAAGATAACTGAATGTAAGTTAAGTTAATTTTGGACCTTTTAAAGGGTCAGAAAAAAAGAGAAATCAGTTTTACTTGATATTTTGTAATACAGCAAAAGAGTTGAAAATGTAGGCATTTACAGCAAAGTCTTAAAGGTACAGTAGCAGAAAAACCCTTATGTTCTGTTGAGGATGACTATACTGTCTTTGTTTGGGGACCAAGAGAAAAATATTAATTTTTAAATTCCTCTGTTTTATCACAAATAGGTACTTTAAGAAATGCGACTGGCCTCTGCACTATTGTTCAAAGTTTGGGGTCAGTTGAATTTTTTGGGAAAGAAATGAATACTTTTATTCAGCAAGGATGCAATGATCAAAAGTGAGAGTTGACACATTAATGCATAAATATACATAAATGTATCACTGTCTGTTTCCATAAAAATATGAAGCAGCACAGCTGTTTTCAACATTGATAATAATCAGAAATGTTTCTTGACACCAGTTAACTTGTAATATTTCATAATATTGCAGTTTCTGCGGTATTTTTGATTAAATAAATGCAGCCTTGATGAGTATAAGGAACTTATTTTAAAAAAATGTATCAACCTCGAACTTTTGAATGGTATTCTAGTAATGTTTTCTCTATTTGGGATCATTTTGACCACAGCAAAAACAGTCCATTTTTTTAGATACAAAACAAAACATGAGGGTTAACTCAAAAGGTCAGAGAGAAAACTGAATTAGTTTTGCCACAAAACCCTTGACTAACATAATAATTGGACCAAGTGTAAATGAATATCTGTTTGTCATGCTCTGTTGCAGTTGAGCTGAACATGACAGTAGTTATAGCAATAGAAGTGGGAGCGTTCCTGTTCCTCCTCTTGTGCTGTGTTGCCATCTGTCTGTGCTGCAGAAGAGGGTGCTGTTGTTGCTGCCGCAGTGAGTACCACTTTACTCAAACTAACACAATCTAAACAGGCTGTTTAACTTTGAAATATGTCTTGTCCTTATCTTCTAACATAAGTCTCGAATTTACCAACAGAGAATAAAGGAGAGACAAAACAAAGGTAAGTCTTATGCAGTATTTTTAATGCACTCTTACCTATAAGAATAATACATAACAGACCTTTAGAAACAAAGCAGTTATTTCTTTGCACTTTTCAGCAGAACAAAGACCAGCTATAACCCTCCAGATGTAAGTTTGCTATTGATAACTCACTAGTCAAATAGTATAATACTGCACTAAAGAGATTTCTGATTATACTATTGGCTTGTCTTCATCTCATTGTTCATCTCTCTCCTCAGCTGAGATGCTACAAACATACACAATCCTTTGTGCTATGACGTGTGCACATACTGGACAGCGCTGTGCTAAAAGAAGTGAATTATAGTGACCTCAGAAACTAGAGAAACATATCTTACATCAAGTGCACTTGTATATCTGTTTTGCTCTGATGGCCTATCAGAGCAGAAAACACGCCCCCTTGGTGTTGAGGTCCATCCACAACAGACCTACATTTTGGCTAATTTCTGCGGTTTCTTTTGTGTTACTGTAAAAAGCTTTTTATTTTTCAATTTAAGAGTATTCATTTTTTTAGATAGCATGTAGTATTTTAATTGTCTCATATCTGTTTGACTTCTCACAACTAGAGTTTATAGATACTGTAAATATTGCACTATTTCATACTAGATTTGTCCTACTCAGGTTCAGGCAATGGTTTCAGTCGTCAAGCCACTGAGTAGAGGCCCAGTTATAGATGTGATGGTCCACTTGATTTGAATGGAAACAAGCTTTACTTGTCTCAGGATGTCTCTTAAGTCTTTTAATCATCATACACTCAATGTTTTAGTAGACATGAATCACAAGCACCTTGACTTGTTTCTATGCGTTTCATTCAGTAGTATAATCTGTTGTCTGATGATGGGTATTTCTCAATGAAATGCCATTTACTTATTAAAGGAATAGTTCACCCAAAAAGATGTGATGCTCTATCAATCATTTACCCTCATGTCCTTCCAAACCTGTATATGACTTACTTTCTTCTGTGACTCAAAAACGATATTTTGAAGAATCGACTTCCATTGACAACACACACACACACACTCATTTCTGAAAATATATTTTACGCTCCACATAAGCAACAAAGCTAAACATGTATGGAACAACATAAGGTTGTGTAAATTACAATTTTAATTTTAACATCTTTTAATCAAAGATAAAAAAAAAATGTGTCTGAGCTAATTTAACTATTTGGTTTAGCTGATGTGTGGCTCAAATGAATCAGCAGTGTCTCCAAAAACGAGATGTTCTGGTCTTTTGTTACATTAACTGATGTAAAATAAAGTAAATGCAAAATTCACACGCTGCTGCCATATTTATTCCTCTTCTTACACAGATTAAAACACTGTAGCATATATTTTCAATGTTACATAATGCACAAATCAGTTGATTGTTCCAAGTTAATAGTCACATCCAACAGTGTGAGACATTTCATTAAACACAAAATGTCCATAATGCTGGAAACATTTACTTGAAGAGTCACAGCACTGGAATGTCCATCAGCAGGAATAACTCAAATCACTCTTTACAATAGAATAAAATGTGCTTTAAGTGTGCACAAACACTAAGAATTTGTTGTGGTTTCAAGGAGCTCCGGGGTACATACATACACATATAACACAAGATAATAAACATAAAAAACCAAACTAACACACATAGATTGAGTAAGATAAAGACATTAATATGTATTTACATATGTATCCATTAATGCGTCGATTGTCACACTTAAGGCACTGTTAAAGTCATCACCTTCCGTTATCTGGTGCTGGCTTTTTTTTGGCACAAATAAACAACCGTATATATTATGATACATAGTTAAAAACGGCACAGAGTGGGGCTGTACATGTTGCTGTCAGTGGGCAGCGAGGCCTCCTGCTCATCCCCGCCCCCAACGCAATGTTGACCAAAATCCAGCATGAACATTCACTCAACTTATTAGCACACACACTAAACTATAGCCCCTGACACCCAGCTTTAGTGCGCAAAACTCCAACACAGCACTTACTGAACGGGATAAAGAGGTACGTCGGGCCGCAATACTAATTAATGTGAGCTAAACGCGGTCAAAAAGGAGTATGTTGCATATGTGTGCGGTTATAAGCGTGTCAGTTTTCCCGCTTTCTGCGCGAGCTTACTGTTAGCATCCTGAGGGGAACAGAGCTATTAGCTGGAGTGCTAACAGAACTGACTGTAAGCCAGCCCTCTCACGCCCGACTAGCAGTAGGTAAACATACTTGTAAACTTTATTCTGGATCATTTCAAATATATTTGTTTCCATCGAAATATGTCGTTGACGCATATAACTCGTCGCGAAAACCAAACGCGCGAGTTTCCGTAAAAGTTAGCGCGAGTTGTCCGCGCGAGCAGACATTCAGTTCAAGCAGGCGTGTCTTTCGTCAGCATCAGCTAAGCAGCTAACAAAGAGGCCAGGTATACATACATATTCCATCCATGATTGTACATGCCGTAGACATTGTATTCCACACGAACCGCGTAATTAAACACCGTGATGTTTCTTCAGTCGCACGGCTGTTTTCGGAAGTCTGTCAGCCGCCGTTACTTCGGCCAGGATTTCCGGCTGCTTTTACATCTGCCCTTCTCTTGTTTTGTTTCCGTTTCTTCCATTTCCGTTTTAACTTTCCAAAATCAAAAGTCTTGATGTGTAGCTACCCCTGGAAGTTTCAGAAGTTTTAAAAAGTCGTCTTTTACGCCCAATTTTGCGGTTATATTACGAAACCCAAAAGCACTCCAACATGGCAACTGCGTTTGTATCGATTCGCGCGTCGTCTTCCCACCCAGTCGCTGGTGGAAATTATATTAATAAAGCGTTGCCGTTTAAATCCACACACTAAAATAATAAATGGATTGAACAAATGGATTGCATGTTTAATAAATAAGTGCGTCTCCTGTGTTTAATAAGAGTGCTGATGTGGGGAAAATGCCATGGTGGGCCTGTACTCAAGCAAAGCCTCGGTGTTGCGTGAGAGTTTATTGGACTTCAGAGACTTCTTCGAACGCAAGAGTGCGTTAACCCGACCATGTAGTGACTTTTAGGCACATTTGTATATTTTGTATTACTTTGTGTTCATTAAAATGCTAAACAATGTTAAATGAAGTATTCCAGTTTTTATTTTTAAGTATATACATGTAAAGATAATTAGGTAACACTTTACAATATTATTTGTTAACATTGGTTACCATAAACTAACAATGAACAATACTACTACAGCATTTATTAATCTTAGTTACTGTTCAACATTTACTAATACATTTTATGAATCAAATCTTTTAATGCATGGTGAACTAACATGAACAGTTGTGTTGATATAAACTAACATTAACAAATATTAATAAATGCTGTAAAAAAATAAAAGGTAACGAGTCATTGTTCTTTAGTGTTAGCTAATGCTTCAACCAATATTAACAAATGTGACCTTGTTGTAAAGTGTTACTGATAATTCTTGTTCACTTTTTTTGTGATTAGCTGCAAAATAATGTGTCTTTTAACTTTTATGTTTTTTATGTATTTGCTTTATAGTTGGACAAGGAGTTGAAGGGATGTCAAAAAGTGAGACAGAGGAGATGATTGAAATTGAGATTGATGGACGGGAGAAACAGGAGTGTCTAGAGGAAGGGTAAGTGCTTTTTCATTCTTTCTCTTCCTTTTTTCCCCTTCTCTGTTTGATGTGTTTAGAGGAATCATCTCATTGAGCAATGTGTGTCTTGTGCCTGTGAAATGATCTGTTTCATGTGACCAAATGTCAGGATCGAGGAGCAAACCATCACAGCAGCTGAACTGATTACTCAAGACATTGACATCAATGAGCCGATCGGTGACCTGAAGAAGTTACTGGAGCCTCGTCTTCAGCTCCCGCTGGATGGATATGACATTTGTCTGCAGGACATCCTAGTATGTTCTTCTATATGAATGTAATCTTATTTGAGTGCACTCATTGTATTCATGGATTAAGCTCTTCACTCCCTGACTCTGCTTCTTTCCTCATGTAGTTGCATCCTGATCACAGCCTGTTCGATCAAGGAGTGAAGACAGATGGTACAGTACAGCTCAGCGTGCAGATTGTCACGAAACCGGGTAACAGTTTACAATGATTTCGTATTGCTGTTGGACAAATCTCAACTTGTCAACATGCCCTTCAGGCAAATGAAAATCTTTGGGTAGTTGACGTGTCCTGCGGAGTGACGTGCTGTTGTAAACAGCACTTAGCTAATTCTTTTATAATTATTCATGTCGCTTTTATGAGCTCATAGTAATTTAGGGACTACATGAGTATTTGCACTTCTAAAAAATAATCACACCAAGGACCATTTAAAATGAATTAGGGAAGGCAAAAACATGATTAAAAATAGTGGAAAAACTTCAAATGAAATCACCAGTTACATAAGATATTGTTTCATTTATATATTCATATAAATTAAATACTAAGATAGATCTTCATTAAAAAAAAGTTATCCGGCAAATTTACAGCAACAATAAAACATTAATATAATGTCAAGTCAAGTCAAGTCACCTTTATTTATATAGCGCTTTTAACAATACAGATTGTGACAAAGCAACTGAACAGCATTAATTAGGAAAATAGTGTCAATAATGCAAAATGACAATAGTAAACACTCATTTTTCAGTTAAAGACAGTTCATCATTGAATTCAGTGATGTCAACATCCAGCTCAGTTCAGTTTAAATAATATCTTTGCAATCATGTCGACGATAACGCTGGAAATGAAGTGTCCCCAATATGGGGACATATGTGACTAATGTGACTTGCTTGTGGGTTTGTCGTCTGTTTTAGGTGAAGAAAAATTGAATATTCTGGAGATTGTGAAACCAGTGGAGACTGTGGAGGTGGTGATTGATCCAGACGCAGTTGCTGGCGAGGAAGCCCATCTGGTGGAGGATGGACACATGATTGCGGTGGAGCGAGCCGCCATTCCTGATGAGACTTCAGAGCAGGTGACCCGCTGGGCGGCCGCATTGGAAGGGTACCGCAAGGAGCAGGTTCGACTGAACATTCCCTATGGTGAGTTTTCCATTGATGTTAACATGTTTCAGAGTTAAATCTAAATATTTAATGGATTTAGTAACAGTGTAGTAGTAGGCACAGATGATGAGTACTATATTACACATGCCGAATTGAGGCAGTAATTAAAGCAAAAGGAGCCCCTACCAAGTATTGAGTACATGTACAGTAAATGAACATACTTTCCAGAAGGCCAACAATTCACAAAAAAATTTTTTTTATTGGTCTTATGAAGTATTCTAATTTGTTGAGATAGTGAATTGGTGGGTTTTTGTTAAATGTGAGCCAAAATCATCACAATTAAAAGAACCAAAGACTTAAACTACTTCAGTCGGTGTGCATTGAATTTATTTAATACATGAGTTTCACAATTTGAGTTGAATTACTGAAATAAATTAATTTTCCCACGACATTCTAATTTATTGAGATGCACCTGTACACTAGTGTTCAGAAGTTTGGGGTCGTTAAGATTTTTTTAAATTTCACCAAGGCTGCATTTATTTGAACAAAAATACAGTAAAACATTACTGTAAAAAAAATACAGTAATACTGTGAAATATTATTCAAAATAACTCTTTTCTGTTTCAATATATATTAAAATGTAATTAATTCCTGTGATGGCAAAGCTGAATTTTCAATATCATTACTCCAGTCTGCAGTGTCACATGATCTTTCATAAATCATTATAATTTGCTGATTTGGTGCTCAAGAAACATTTCTTCTTCTTATTATTATTATTATTAGTGTTGAAATATTTTTGTGGAAACCATGATACTTTTTCTTCTGGATTATTTGATGAATAGAAAAAAAAACAGCATTTATATGGAATTAGAAATCTTTTGTTACATTGAAAGTGTCTTTACTGTCACCTTAATCAATTTAATGTGTCCTTGCTGTATAAAAGTATTAATTTCTTTAAAAAAAATCTTACTGACTCCAGAGTTTTGCATAGTAGTGTTTGCATTTCTACTAAATAATTTCATACATCATGAAGCCTGAAATGGCAATGAATTGTAAAAGAAATCACAATTGAATTATTTTGTTACAACTCATATCAGATTCACATCTGAAAATAAGTCAGGAATTATTTTGGGTTAAGAAATGAACATGTAATACACTTGGTATTATTATAGTAAATTATCAACTTTAAAATATTAAATTCTGTAAATGTTGTAATACATTTTCATTGTCAGAACAGTGCATTTTTACATCCCTAGTCAGTAGCAGTATCATTTAATGAGCTTTATGTGTCTGTCTGTCTGTCAGACCCGGTGCAGTGGACAGCAGATCAGGTGATCCACTGGGCAGTTTGGGTTATGAAAGAGTTCGGCATTGAGGAAATGGAGGTGGGTGGCATTCACATTCCCGGCCGCCAGCTCTGTGGTTTCAGCCAGGAGGAGTTCCTCCAGAGAGTGCCCAGCGGAGAGATCCTGTGGAGCCACCTGGAGCTTCTACGCAAGTGTAAGTTTCACATAGGAAAGAGAGTGTGTTCTCCAACTTCTCTATCACAATATTTTTAGCCCGTTTTTAATCTCTTTAATGCTCTGTGCAGATGTACTTGCGAGTCAGGATCAGGGTCAGGAAGCAACAGTCACCATTGATCAACGTGAGTATCAGTAGATCCTGAATCTTGTCTGTTTTTGCAGTTGCTTCTGCTCAGTTTTATCAACAAAAGCACCTTTTGAGAACCTTCTTGAATAACACTTTTTGTATAACCTGCACATGATTTGCTTAAAGGGCAGTTTGTGTCTCTAGGCAACACTTAAGCTTTTCGACGAAAGGAGCATGTGTTGGTCTTCTGGGTAACACAGTTTCTTGTTATTCTCCAGCTGTGCAGATCATTCCTGCCCCTGTGCAGCAGGCCACACCTACAGCCATTAAGGTGATGAAGCACAACAAAACACCCCGAGCCCCCCGTATCTCAGGAGAGGAGCGCAGCTCCCCTGGCAACCGCACAGGTACATACAAACAAATAAAACAAATGTTTATGTGTAAAAGCTCAGGTTTATCAATATTAGTATGTTTATATGAAATAATGCATGCAAGTGGTGTAAATGTAGTTTTTAATAATACATTCATTTTTTTAGTATAAATCGCATTTTGTTAATTGCAATGAATTAAATTGTCATATAATATTGATGATGATATCAGTAATTCATTTTTGAAATGTAAAATTACTGTTCTCCCCCCCCCCCCCCCCCCCCTTTTTTTTTAAGGAAATTAATACTTTTATTCGGGAAGGATGGATTAAATCAACCAAAAGTGACAGTAAAAAACTCTCAGATAAAAAAAAAAAATCTATTTCAAATAAGTGTTCTATTAAACTAACTTTTCCTCAAAGAATCACGAAAAATATATATCACAGTTTGTACAAGCATAAGTAGCACAACTGATTTCAACATTTATATATATATATATTTTTTTTTTTAAAATTTGAACACCTAATTAGCATTTTAGAATGATCAGAATCTGGAGGATAATACGAAACTGAAGACTAGAGTAATGGCTGCTGAATATTCAGGCTTGCCATGACAGAAAAAAGTACATTAATATATATATATATATATATATATATATATATTAAAATAAAAAACATTTGTTTTAAATGGTAATATTTCACAATATTAGTTTTACAGTATTTTTGATCAAATCAATGCAGCCTTGTTGAGCATAAGAGACGACATAAAAAAAAAAAACATAAAAAAAAATCTTACAGACCCCAAATGTTTTAATGGTAGCATATATATTGGTGAAATGTCGGATACTAATATAATCTAATGTTGTCTTTCATTTTATGGTCCATGGTGGAAGAGTATTTTCCTCTTTCTGCCATTCAAATTTAACATCCTGTGGTGTGTGTTCCATTCAAATCGCATCTTGTGAATTTAATGGGAGCCAATTCTTGAAATTCGGAATTTTGCCAAACCCTCCTACTAAGAAAAACAAGAATAGACATCTCATATGCAAAACTCTAATAAATGATCGTAGAATTGATTATGATTGTGTTGTGTGTCATCTCAGGTAATAACGGTCAGATTCAGCTGTGGCAGTTTCTTTTGGAGTTGCTGACGGATAAGGACTCTCGGGACTGCATTTCCTGGGTGGGAGAGGAGGGCGAGTTCAAACTCAATCAGCCTGAGCTGGTAGCTCAGAAATGGGGTCAGCGCAAGAACAAGCCCACCATGAACTACGAGAAGCTAAGCAGAGCTCTCAGGTGCGAGTGTATAATTTCCCCTCTCTAGTTTAGGCGCTTTTGGAGGGATGCAGCTAGTATTCAGCGACAACACTAACTCTATCCATCAAATCTTGTCTCCCCTAAACAGGTACTACTATGACGGAGACATGATCAGCAAAGTGCAGGGCAAGCGCTTTGTCTACAAGTTTGTGTGCGACCTGAGGACTCTAATCGGATACAGCGCTGCAGAGCTCAACAGCCTGGTGACGGAGTGCGAACAGAAGAAACTCGCCCGGGTGCAGCTGCACGGCCTCGGCCAGTCCGTCAACACAGTCACACTGGCCACTGCCACAGGCCAGCCCGTCACCACAGTCACTCTGGCTGCAGCAGCTTTGGAGAAAGACAGTTGAGGAGGGAGTGGCTTATTATTCCCAGCCAATCAGGAGACAAGTTTAAGACGGGAGGAAACCGGGTTCGACATTTGACTTTGGGCAGGGTGGGAAACAGCGGGTTTGTAAGCAGATGTGCGCATTGTTGCGAGTGTGTATGTATGCTTGAGCATCCTTAAAATGCTTATAGAGCGAATGTTTGTGTGGATGTGAGAGATAAAGTATAGATGATCACGTATGAGCTTTCATTTTTTTGTATGCTTGTTCTCTGACTGCAGGGTAGCATCGGCTATATTTCCATTGTATATACTCTGTTTTTGATAGCCACGTGGGCAGTGTATTTTGATATTTTCCATTTGTAGAGGATCTTTTCTTTTTTATTTTTGAGTGTCCAATTCCCTCAAGGTGAGGTATTTTTGACTGTCCACCAGAGGGCAATAAAGAGAGTTGTTTTTTTTAATTGCCCAGGTCTTGCATAATGCAGCAGAAATCAAACACACCCTTTGTTTCTTGTTTGTGCACCAAACACCACATCACAAGGAGTTTGTATGTACATTCAAAACTTTATTCATGGATTAGTGTTGTAGAAAGCTTTTCCCCTTCTAAGCCAATGGTTTGAATAGACATTGAAGGAAAATGTCACAGAAAGAGCTTTCTTTGTTCCCTACTGACCACAGACACTCACCTCAGAGTATCTACTAATCAGCACAACACCAGATTTTAGAGCTAAGGTAATTCTATACAGGAACGTAATGAGCAGTGTGCACTGTGACATAACTGCACAATGTTTGAATTGGTTAATGGCTGTGCCTCATACAATGTATTTTACAACAGTTCACAATTTCCTTCAACATCATGGCACTTTTGAAATAACTATTAAGAGGTCATTCAAAAGACCGCATGGCATGAATTCATTACATTAATATTTCATATCTACCCGTTCCTTCCTGTCTGCTCTGGCCTGTAAGGTGCTATGAGATACTTCAGTGAAACGATAAAAGAGGGGGAGGTGGTGAGGTGTTTCTGTCCCAAAATGTGTTCGTGAATATCACAGACACTGGGGGAATACAAGAGGGCAAAGTGGGACAAAAAATAAATAAATCACACAATCCAAAAATGGTGGCTATTTCTGAAGCAAAATCCCACCAGCACTCCATACCGCCCTTCCCTAATCCCGGCCCCATACCAAATCCCGACATGGAATAAAACTTAATGAGGCAAAAAGGGTCTAGACCCTTCAAAAAAAATAAAAATAATGCAGAGTGCGTAGAACGTTAAAGAACCAAAATGTGGGCTAATATTACACTTCATAATACTATACATACATCTTTTTCCAGCCCCATGCAACCATTTAAGTGTGTGTGTGGCATGGTTCAAAAGAAATAAAAAGCACACTTTGATTAAAGCATGTCCCTGTGCAGATTTTTTTCACTTATTTAAAATGCGATCACAAGAAGACAATAAAATGTACAATCCAGCTACAATCTCTACATGAGAGAGAGGTCAAAGTCTGCGTCTGGATTCAGAAACCATCTCTCTGTTAAAATTGCCATGCACTATATAGATACAGCTAGTTTCTGCCTAATTCAATACATACTACACACAAAATAAAAACAAACATTCATTTCTTATCTCTGTAAATGTTTTTTATACCCTTTTTTTCAATGTATGGATTTTTTTAATATATATA